AATTGGCAAGCGCGTATACTGGACCGAGACGGCACTCTGCTCAGTGAGTGCGTGAGAGGGGATCGGTATATCAGCGATACCGCCCACACCAAGGGCCATATCAGCTACCTACATGGGGGTATGTGGCATCCGTCCATCAAGAATACATACATGACGTATGGCGCGGACGGCACTATCCGCTTGTGGAATTCAGAGCTCAGCACTAAGCAGAAGACGGTGAGTGGGTCGGTGTTCGGTTGTTGAGGCGAGTATACAGGGTTGCTAGGCACGATGTTGGTGCTGTGCGCGATGGTTGCCAATACCACCAAGCACTCATAGTCATATGTGTGTATTTAGTTTTATTTGCTTGTGGTTGCGTGGGCGGCTGCGAGTGTGTATCCATATAGCCGTGTATATGTGCAAGCTCGGAGGAGTTTGCACCAATGTACAGCATGTATGTGCGTGGAAGGGGCTGAATGCGATCGTATCTTGGTATCCTCGCATATGCATGGATGTACGTGTAGACAGTGTTATATTCACACATACTCTTGTTGAACTCGATATGCAGATGTACCATTTGTACCTACGAGAATGACTCAATTGTAGTCGTGTGTGTATATGAGGTGTTTGAAGACGCGTATGCACATAGAGTAGCATTTAACCGCCTTTCCAACGCGTTTGAAGGTACGCACAAACCCACACCGCTTTCGCACCTGTTGTTTGGGCGTATGTTACGATATTAAGGGATGGTCCATTCAAGTCTAGTATTGACGTATATATGCTACATCATGTAAATAAACAGTTCACGTATGTATGTCCGCGAATACTGTCTCATACGTTTCTCGTACTCGCTTTCATCAGGTGATCAAGATGCGTGGTCAACAGGGCAGGCGTGCGTGTGTAACCTGCGCCGCGTTCTCGCCAAATGCCGCACAATATATCGCAGGCACAAGTGATGAGGGGGGGCTGTACCTGTGGAAAGGTTCCGGTATGTCTGAGTTCAGTATTGTGTGCACATAACATCCAAAGAGCGTGGTAGGTAGTTTTAGCGTTAGACTAGTTTCATTCGCACAATAACTATTACCTGATTAAGCGTTAAGAAACATAACTAGAGTTCTACTTTGTTAAAGAGACTGCTAGATATCGCTAACCAGGCCTTCACCACAGCCAAACGTGTCCGTTGAGGGGGTTGCATCCAGCCCCGTACTACAGTGCATTTCCCTATTGATGTAATAGAGAAGTAATTGCACCAGGATGTCCAGCGATTCCAAAATCTCACCTGTGTTTTTAAAGTGTCATATTGCTATGTAGTAGAGATGCGTCCAACTCAGAAGGCGTTTTACTAACACATCCCACCGATTGTTCATCTCTATATCACCTGACTTCCAGGACCTTTCTTGCGACCGACGCAGTCGCAGCACAAGGCGCACACCGCCGAGATTACACACATGCGCTTCTCCAAGTATGTAGTCCCATACATATTTAAGGTTCACCTGTGTTTTCGGCACGTCGTGCTACCTTAAATGACATAGACAGACACGCTGCAAGTCGTGTGGTGGGGATGGCGTCTTATAGTAGGTGTAGTATATTTGTGTGGTGGTATAGGCAGCTATGCAGTGTATGAGATTGTGAGCGAGTACTCTTATGGATGTCTCGTTATCAACACGTAATTTCAGGCTTAGTATGTGTTCACGGATTATGGCTTCGCGGATTATGGCGTGGATATGCAATTGGTTGAGCATGCCTGTCGGCTAGGTGCCGATGTTGTCGTCGCTGTATCTTGCGTGCCATGTTTATATTATGGGCTTACCACAATGCGCATTGGCACATAACCAATGCGTATACAAATACGTATAACCAATGTGTTTACAAATGTATTGTAGTTTAACGGCAGTGTCCGACTACTCCTTGCCATTGCTGGGCATTGTTCGTTTCCGATGTATGCGGTGCGCCGTTGTGTACAGTGATGGGCACTGTGTGTGTGGGCTGGCGCTACACTTGATGTCACGCACTCGACTGATTCCACAGCACGTCGGCAACATACATCAGCCAGTATACGTACCAGGCGCACAAGCAACACACTCCTGCAATGACTCCAGATAAGGCGCTATTCAGTATTATTTTGGCCTATGCTGTTGTATGGAAAAGACAGAGAGGGGGTCTGTTTAGAAGCTATGCAACTCACGCTGTATATGGAATCATTCTATTTTTTTCGCCACTTTCAGAACGTCCAAGCAAATAGCCACGCGGGGGAAGGACGATTGTTTACGGCTGTGGGATGTGACTAATTTCCGCAAATGTGTGAACGAAGTAGGAGGCCTGGAGAATGCCATAGAAGTAAGTCAGCCCTCGGTCGACTTGTCCCTGTGGCTGAATTTTTCAGTTGTGTATTGTGTGTGCGTGTGAGAGCTCTAGTGTGCATATGCGTGGCCTTGTTTAGTCCTTACCCATCTATTTATGCATGTATCACTTATAATCTCGGACGTATCTGTGTCTGCATGTATACCGGTTGACTGTCACGTACTAAATCAAAGTGGCCACTATGCAAAATTCGTCTAGAATGTACACGCCTCATCACCTGTTAGTATCGTGCGTGAATCTTCAACACCATGTGTGTGCTTTAAGACACTTTTTTTTTCGCCATGTCCAGATGCATTGAATGGAGGGGCCTGTAATTCACCATCCGATCATATAATCGATATCATCTGTAGTTAAACATGCTAGAACATCATCTATACCAACCTAGCATGCTAGAACATCATCTATGCCAACCTAACATGCTAGAACATCATCTATACCAACCTAACATGCTAGAACATCATCTATACCAACCTCACATGCTAGAGCAGCACCTATACCAACCTAACATGCTAGAACATCATCTATACCAACCTAACATGCTAGAACATCATCTATACCAACCTAACATGCTAGAACATCATCTATACCAACCTAACATGCTAGAACATCATCTACACTAACCGTCCATAGGGTACGCAATGCGAGTTCAGCCCAGACAACAGCTTGATCATCACCGGAACATCCGTACGGCCGGGCTCGGGCCAGATGAGCGAATTGGTGTTTGTGGACAGGGAAACGTTTGACATTGTGAAACGTCTGGACATCACCTTAGCGAGCACCATAAGTGTGCTGTGGCACCCGCGGCTCAATCAGATTGTTGTGGGGTGTGCTGATGGCAAGGTGGGTGCAGGTCAACCGCTGGATGGTGTGCACGTTTTAATGAGTGTGTGCATTTTTCACCTACCTTTATAAATGTACGGATTGGCTGCCAAGTGCTTGTGGCTTTGTATTTAACTATGTGGGGTGGGGGTGGGGGGGGGCACGCGAAGGTCATGCAGTGGAACGAGGAAGTTTGTGGTTGTGGGCACTCTCTTTTATTTACGACTGATGCACGAGCTAACTTGCATTAATGTCTGTTTGGCCACACGCGAAAGTATTGGTTGCTTCTACTTGACAAGTGTACTCCAACTTCTTATGTACAGTGCGGTCCGGTGCTGATGTATTTGTATTCCTCTGTGAGGTGCTGAATTCAACTCAAACACATCTCATTTAATCCTAAGACAGCGCGTTTCTCACACATTCTCCCTTAAGTCCGCCCTTATTCACACACCATCTCAACCCACTTCGTTCGTACTCACCCAGGTCAAGATCTTCTTCAGCGAATCTGGGTCACAGAAGGGTGCCAAGCTCTGCGCGGCGCGCATCCTGCGCAAACGCATCCGACAAACCGGCATGGCCGCCACAGACAAACTGGGTGCAGCAATCATCACGCCACATGCACTGCCTATGTTCCGAGACGACAACTTTGCGTATGTTACGCAGAAACAGAAGGACAAGATGCGCCTAGACCCGGTCAAAACCCAAATGCCCGAGTTGCCGTTTACGGAGGCGCACGGCGTGGGTGGCCGTGTGGCGCCGAATCTCACGCAGCATCTGGTGGGCAACATCACCAAGGATACTATGCGTGATCAGGTGCGTACGTGCATGTGTTTGTATCTGCGAGTGTGTGTGTGTGTGTGTGTGTGTGCATGTAGCGTGTGCTAGATTGTGGCCATGTGTATGTGTGTATGTGATATAAATTAGGCTGGCGGGGCCTTTTCTTCATGTGCGTGGGGTGTGCACTCCTGTGTGGTTTGGTCTACCTTTTATTATGGAGAGAGCTGTGATGTATCACGGGTCTATGAACATGTACATGGGTGGCTTTTGGGTGCAACGTTGGTTGCACCCGCGTATTTCATCAACCTGTCACTAACATCGTGCGTGTGTGTGTGTGTGTGTGTGTGTGTGTTGGTGAGGAGAGGGTTCTTGTTAGAGTGTACAACGACTTACTGCTGAGCTTTGTACTATCTCATGACATGAACTGCAGGATCCGAGAGAAGCCATCCTGAAGTTTGCGGATGAAGCCGAGAATGGATTCTTCATCAGCGATTCTTACAAGAAGAACCAGCCCACCACCATACTGGCCGCCACCGTCGAGTCTGAGGAGGAGTCGGATTAAGTTCTACATATTAAGTTCTACATATAGATTGAATCCAAAAGGAAATATGCACAGGTTAGGGCTATTGCACTGGGTAAGGAGAAGCGCTATCGGTATGATAGTGGGGGCTGTAGACATCCGGTCGAAATATGTTCTAACTCGCGTACCAATTGGCGTGTCACAATCACCTCACGGCCTTTATGGGAACATCTTCATTTGTAGCTGGAGGGTGTCAAGGGAGACCCTTCCTAGCAGCTTTTCCATACAGGATGGTTGTCAAGGGTGATGTTTGTACACCTGGGCCAATAACAGCCGCTGATAGGTATCGCACCCATGTGAAGTCGAAGCAGACGAGAGCTTCTTGGATTGGCACAGTGTCACGTATCACTGAAGATGATCGGACAAGTGGTGCGTTGGCCGGGCATAGAGTTCGCACACGTGGCTCCTGCTCCTCCCGTGTCAGTGCGGAGAAGCTGCAAACATTAATTTCGTTACAGTGCGAATGTGTAGTGCGTATCCAGCGTACACGATCATATCCCCGGATTTGCACCGACATTGAGCCTAAACGAGCCCAAGAGTCACGCCCACGCCGTAACCATGGCAACGACGACTCATCACCGAGCCGCCACGGAGCAAAATCATCCTGTGAAGAATACTGTAGCCGTTAATAACTTCACATACCAGTTTTCGCTTTGGACATTAAAACGTCCGTGACCAAGTGATGCATTAGTAGTTCATAGCCCTGCAATATTGCGATTTTATTCGTGGGTGCAATCGTTGATTGATGGTAGATGCCATCGCACACCACTACAGGCGTATTCTATTCTGTTCACGTGCTTATTGGCTTCTCGTGTTCTTTTGGGCTGTTCATATATGTTGGTGCAATGCACAACATCGCTGTGGACCGGTTGTTATTGCTGTCGACCTGTAAACCTGTGCTGCTGAGTCACTTTAACCGTATCTGTTCAGGGCCAACAGCGCCATACACCGCACACTCAGACACCCTACTATCCACATGTTAGGGTTTAGCCTTTGCAGAGCGAATGGATGAATACTTATCAATGGCTATCAGGGCGTCACTGTTATTAGCTATGCACCACTGTTTAAATTGACTGGCATGGCAACACTCAGCTATCGTGGCTCACCGGCGTGTATGCACAGATCTGGACATCTGGATTTGTAGTGTCCCCTGTCGCCACAGCTTTCGCATACTATGGAGTCTGAGTAGAACTGGGGGCAAGCCGTCCACGGATGTCCAAACTGATCACAGTACACGCATTGTTTCTGCCCAAGCGCCTCGTCGGTGTGCTCCGGTAAGTGCCCACAGTACAACCGGTACTTAGTGCACGCAGGCAACGCATGGTCTGGTTGACGGCAGTAGCCACAAAGTGCCTGGTGTAGGGTGCCATATGTGCGCGTGTTCGGGAGGCGTGGCTGCGTACTATTCAGGCGTATGTTGGGGACTACGGGGTTTGTGTGCGTACTGCTATCTGGTATCTGCCGGTGTGGTTGTGCACGTGCAGCTGTATGCGCATCTGTGTCTACACGTGTACGAATGTGTGCATGTGTACGTTCATGCGGAGGGGTAGGGGTGCTATCGCCAACATCCTGCTGTATGGCATCTGGCATGTCCTCGCTTTCTTCGGTGGTTAATGCTTCGCCTGTAGCCCTCACAGACTCAGTAGCGCTTCTGTACCTTCGAGTCGCAAGGCTGACGCACAATGGAGTGTCCTCAACGAATTCGTTACCCGTTGTTCGGCCTGCAGTATGATTGCACTTTTTTAGACAACATCCATTGCCGGTCTCAAAGAAACTTTGGGGAAGGAAAACGCAAGTATAGGACCACAGGTGTTCTCGCTTTTGAGATTATACGACATTGCACCGGGTGCACAGCTTGCAGCACATATATGAATCTAATCCATCCCGGTTGTATGGTTCATGCGTCTAACCTCGACGAGTGTTTACTTATCGTGCTGCGTATTCATCGATTGTTCTACAACGGACAACGACTTAGATGAAAATGATGTGTGTAATTGTTTTAAGCTTTTTTACACTCTTACTACAGAGTTGATTCACAGCTTGCTATTATGCAAGATGTGTACATCAGATATAGCCGCATAGACGAAGTTGTACTATTCATCTTCGTACAGCTCAATTCAAGATTCAATATTCGTATGCACAATACTGTGTACCCGATAGCCTATCAGGCTCTATTTGTTGCGTCTTTTTGTTGCAGCTTAAAGTGTAATATAGCACAAATACATGCAGATTATGTTGCTATCGAATACGTTTATGCAGCACGCACAGAAAAGGCATACACCGCCGATTCGTTACCCGATGTGGACACCTGCTTCAAAGTCACGCTGTGTACTATAGACATCATTTTTCCAATATGTACGTAAAGAAATTAAGCCAATTGCTACTGTTTTAGGGTTTCATCTTAGATACCAGTGATGCAGATAAACACGATTATTACACACCCGAAACTTATGTCTGTGGACTGATCTACTATAGATTGTGTATTGAAAGGCAATGCTAACTGCACTACCAGTTTGTGTTCCACATTGAAAAGTGGTTCGTTGCAATGCAACCGCAATTCGGTCCACCTCTCAACCTAACATACCAAAATTTATACTGCGCGTCTGATATACACCGATGTCAGTATCTGCGCGACGAGTACTGTACTTCCACAGTAGCCGAAACACGTCTGACAGCTGAAAGACTAGCCAACAGAGCGCGGCAATGGACAATACCAAGGCACTCATTCAAGCACAACACGCCTGGGCCTTGAGCTCCGATCTACATTAATACCAAGCAATATGAAAAAGTAGAAAGTGTTTCTGATTAATGAGACACGCTCGCGTGTATGTATTCTGCGGTATTAAATGAAACCTATGATTTCTGCAGCTGTTCGAGCGTTTAGTACAGCCTTATCTTCTTCTGACTACAATTGCGGTTTATGTTCATCTGAACAATTGAAAGGAAATAGTCTTATTTCATGTAACGATGAATTAATGGAGCACTAAGCAACATGCGATATTGAAAATAACTTGAAAGTGGAAGTCATACTCAGGAAAAGCATACCTATCAGCAAAACTATTGTTCTGGCTGTGACAGGAACCGATTGTCCCTCGATACTTTATTTATTGCCAGTGAATTGTGAATCCGATATTATAATTACTGCCAGTACTTGTACACGAATCAGCTATAAAACAAAGAGTCTCAGTTTGCGACAACGTACCACAGATTTACACGGTGAGTGTATCCAAACTCTCTTGCAGCGTATGCGGTAGCAATTGGCCCACAGACTAGAATAATGCTACAATGGTGTAGTTGTTGTATTTATACTCTACTACGATATCGAGAACTGCATGCCACACAGTACATACAACGTATCAAAAAACTGAACCAGGAGGTTATGTAGCCGCAATATGATCGCAGACCCAAGGCTTTCGTGCAGGCTGCATACATTTACGAGGACGCTAAACCTGCTATCAAGCTTGAATCGGCATAGGATGCGTGCACTGGACTTCAGGTGTAGATGGTCGTACACTGCCTTCAGCTCAAGGATAACGATACACAGTGCTTATAGCACTAACGTGCGACGAATACATACTGAGGTCTGAGGGCGAAATGGTGTCGTTATACACGTATCAATCAGTCATCACATGATCGCAATGTTCTCTCTCGTGTGAATCCGATGAAGTGATAGATCGATCGATATCAATCGCGCGCCAAATACGCAATCCCAAATGTGGACACAAGCTTGGGAAACCCCTGATACTCGCAGAACGGCATATTTGTCATATTCTGGGGGGATTTTTTGGGGGCCAAAACTCATTCGAGATTTTTCGTTATGTTTATATAAATAGAACCTTTTTTTCTCTGCCTATGCAGCGAATCGGATGGGGCGTTAGGTTCGCTCCACGAGTCAATTCAAATCACTTTCTTATAAAAAAATCACAAAAAAATAATACACAAAGTACTTGTGTAGAATATTAAATATTTATAGGGGGTCAACAGGTAAAACGACTACAAATTCTGCATGGCGCATGCTACGCTAAATAACTTGCTATTTAGCTAGAGTCTATTACATTGGAAGCAGAGTAAATTTCACGTGTATTATACGACCACGCACGTTCTCAGTAGTGCAGTTTGTGTGAGTACTGGATACTGTCAGTATGAGTGACGTCGAAAATAAATCCCCCAGGGATAGCAGCCGCTCGCGCTCTAGATCACCGTAAGTATGAGATATACTAGTACATCTAATTTATAGTTTATAGTAGTGTGTTTGATACGGTAGTATTTAAGCCTGTGTCTTAGTAGTGCCTGTACCTAAGAAAAAATGTGTTTTATTTGTTTCGGTAGTTTTCATAGCTTACGGACACGCATAATATCCGCGGATACGGTGATGTATCTATGTTGGCTTGCATAACTTGTACAATCGCCAGATCTAGTTTCTTTTCTATTTCTATATAATGTATATCTTGATGATATGCCTTTTTTGTGCTTAAAGTAAAGTATGTTTATATATATTGTCACATCTGTATATATCTATTTATATATGTATGGTATGTATCTATCGTGCAGATATGTATGTATGTATCTATCTATCGATATTCAGCGGGCTATCGATCTCTCAATATATATATATATATGTGTGTGTGTGTGTGTGTGTGCGTGTGTGTGTGTGTTTACATATAATTTTGGTTATTTATTGAACGTATTTTTAATTTATATATATATATATATGTGTGTGTGTGTATAAATATATATATATATATATGTGTGTGTGTGTGTGTGTGTGTGTACATAAACATATATATATATGTATATATATATGTGTGTGTGTGTATATATATATATAAACACACATATATATACATATATATGTGTGTGTGTGTCATATGTATACATATATATATATGTATGATTACATATGTATGTATATATATATATATATATATATATATATGTGTGTGTGTGTGTGTGTGTGATGTATATAATCATACATATGTATATATATATATATATATATATCTACATATGTATATATATACATATATATATAGCCTTCTAAATGGAACAAGACTATCATATATATACCTTCTAAATGGAACAAGGCTATCATATATATATGTATATATATATATATATATATGGGGATGTGTGTATTTTTGTGTTTGTGAGTGTAAAGTCATGTGGTTGGTGTTTATGTGTATACGTGTGCCTATGCTTCCAGAAATACCTCGTATGATTATGTGCATCGATTTGTGTCATGAATAGTCCCAACACCATCTAGTGTCATTTAGTTCACACTTATCAATCAATCACAGCGCCCCAAAGAAAGGCGATACCTACGCGGCCACTAACGACCGCAGTGATAATCGCAGCGCTTTACCCAGCACCAAGACTGTTGAGAAACCGTCTACTGAGAAGGCTGCAGGCAAGGTCAAAGCTAAACGCTCCAGCAAATCTCGTTCATCATCACGCAGGCGATCAAGTAGAAAAGACATTAAGAAATCGTCGCGTTCACTGAGCCGTAGCAGATCTAGATCGCATTCCAGATCCCGATCTAGAACCAGGTCGAGATCTCCCACGCGCAGTCGCAGCAGGGGTAGACGTAGCCGAAGCAGAGGCTATTCTCGGCGTGACAGTCCTCCGCGTAAAAGCTTTGGAGGTAAGGCCACGCTATGTTGTGTGCGTTGGTAGTTCAGTGGGAACTTCATAAGTGCGCCTGTTTCATATGTACTGTTGTTATGTATTTGGTATCTACGTCATAGGACTGGTTCGCTCCGATATGCGAGGGTTTTTGGAATTCAAAACCCGATTCCACCTCCGCTTCCCACAAGCACATGCGGATAGGAAGCACCCTTAACATGCCAAAAAAAAAAAGGTAGTCGTCACACCGATATCTCAACTTCCGACACTCAGCTCACCAACCCACTCACTCATTGACCTCCCAGGCTATGCGCGTCGCGGTGATCGTGACCGTCCCCCGCCCTCCAAGGTGTTGGGCATCTTTGGCCTGCACCCCAACACAGAGGAACGCGATGTTGTGTACGAGTGTGAGAGGTACGCAGACGTAGACCGCATTGACATGGTATACGATCGCCAGACAGGCCGTTCGCGTGGGTTCGGGTTTGTGTACTTCTTCTCCATCCGCGATGCCGAGAAGGTGAAGGATCGCATGAATGGCATCCGATTGGACGGCAAGCAGATCCGCGTGGACTTCTCCATCACCAAGCGCGCGCACTCGCCTACCCCGGGACACTACAAGGGCGACAGGTATGTGCCTGAATACGCCAGTGCAGCCTAGCCTGCTATGAAACATGATCCATATGCAATTGCAGGATACCTGCCACCATTGCTGACCCACGCCTTTGTCAGAGAATACAACAAGCGACAGACATCGCGTCTTAAACATCCCATGCATCTCGTCTCTAACTAGCGCCATCCCTGTTTTCTCACAGAGACAGACCCCGTCCCAGTGCTCGTGATGTGCCACGACGCTCGCCTCGACGCAGAGGACGCTCCCGCAGTAGCAGTCGAAGCCGTTCACGCTCGCGCTCGCGCACCCCAAGGCGCAGAAAAAAGGACCGGTCCGTGTCCCGTTCGAGGTCACCGCGGCGCGGCTCTAAGAGCTCCAGATCGGAGCGCAAGAGCAGCAAGGATGCCGGTAAAGACAAGGACGGGGATGTAGATACCAAAGACAAGGACGCCAAGGCAGTCGATACCGTTCCGGCAGACAAAGACGCACGTGCGCGCTCGAACTCACGGTCGCGTTCGCGCTCGAAGTCGCCTGCCCGTGCCAGCGGTAAGTCCAGTGCATATAGGATAGAGATGGGTCTGAGCGTGGCGTGTGGGGCGGCTTACACGTAGTTCAATAGGCCATGAGAAATGTTCTGTATACACATGAGCTGGTCCATTGCGCGTACATGTGTGCGCCCTGTTACACTTAGTAAGCACATAGGACCAGTTTCGGCGTCTTCCAGTACTCGTAAGAGGTATAAACTGAGCAGTGAGAAGGATGATCAGGTGGTTGTATATATTTGTGACACTGTGTTATTATGGCAGTTTTTTTATCTCTGAATCAATCCTCAACTATATAGCATTTACACCACTATTAGGTACAACAACTCATCATTTGTACCACTATTGGGTCTAACCAACTATATATCATTTGTACCACTATTGAGTCTAACCTACTATATGTCATTTGTACCACTATTGGGTTCAACAGCTAAGGAAGAGTAGGAACGCACTGACGAAGATTCCCGCGGAGCAATCTTTGACTTGTTTTCATACGACTGCGTGGCCTCAAATTAGCGTTGCCATGGTTACCGCCAGACGCAGGTCACCCCTCAGTACAGGAAGTATGGTATAGCAGCGCCTATCGCTGTGTGTGTCCTGCGTTCTTAACGCATATATAGTGAATATACAGTCATGTCCTGGTGTGTATTAGGATGCTTATTGCTCATGCACAGGTATGGGCTTGCGCGTCCCAGTAGCCGTACTACTACATCTAGCACCGAGCGTGCACTCGTCCGGGCAGCGCTGTATACATGCGCACTGGTTTGTGTCACACGTAAACGTGTACGTTGCACAGCCGACTTTGCACTGTATACGCTTTCGTACGATATTCTATATATCTATGCCAACACCGAGCGTATCAGTCGAATGAACCATGGCTGCTGCAGGGGCAGTTGGTGGGGACAGTCACTGTTACTGTTATAGACTCCCACGCGATACCGCTATGTGCATAGACCCGACTACCGCCTTGATCAATAAATATCTTCTAAGATTGAAATGTCTGGTGTTGAATCCTCTTGACGTGTATGGTGGTAAGTGTGTTCGTATAAGGTGAACGGCCGTATCGGTAGTAGGTAGATCATTAATCTGCGTCCCCTTCGTATCTCGTCTTCCACACCGCACAAGAAGCGAAGCAAAACAGCGCAAGTCATGGCGACCAGTGAAACGCAAAGCAAGACACAATCAATATTACGGCGGTAGGCTTCTATCAAAGGCAAGAACCCCAAGTATCAGTCAAAAGCAAGGCCTCAAACAGAAGCAAGAGAACGAACCAATCGAATTCAAGTATCCATCAGAGCAAGAATTAATCAAATGCAAGCATCCATCAGAGCAGGAACCAATCAAATGCAAGCATCATCTCAAGTATCAGTCAAAAGCAAGGCTTCAATCAGAATCAAGAGCAAAAACCAATCAAATGCAAGTATCGTCCCCAAGTATTAGTCAAAAGCAAGGCTTCAATCATAATCAAGAGCAAAAACCAATCAAATGCAAGCATCCATCGGAGCAGGAACCAATCAAATGCAAATATCGTCCCCAAGTATTAGTCAAAAGCAAGACTTCAATCAGAATCAAGAGCAAAAACCAATCAAATGCAAGCATCCATCGGAGCAGGAACCAATCAAATGCAAATATCGTCCCCAAGTATTAGTCAAAAGCAAGGCTTCAATCAGAATCAAGAGCAAAAACCAATCAAATGCAAGCATATATCAGACCTGGACCAGAAAGCCAAGAAAAGCAATCGTGCGATCCAATCAAACTCAAGCAAACGGCAAAAGCAAGTACTCTTCACAAGCCAGAAAGCCAAGCATACCTTGGTGCCACACCAAACGAGCACGTGGGGTCGCTCAGTCAACCCACAGTCACCCGAGCCGTAGATGTCACTGCACTAGTACAACCTATATGGGATGCAACACACAGGCGTCGTCACACTGGATGACAAGGTGGAGCATGCACATGAAGAACACTCCACACGCATTACACCACACTCTGGATCAGGTAACTGTGCCACGCCCACTGGCCAAGGCTACCTGCGGAGAAAAAGGCCAGGACTCTCGCCCAGTGCTCTTTCTTTTATGGCGCATGCGTTGTAAACGTTGTCCGTTGTCTATGTGCATGTTGTTGTGAATGGCCTTTTAGACTATATAGTGCGCTGAGTACCCAGATATGCGGTGGTGGGTCAATGTTCGAGCCGCAATTTCCGTATGATACGTTTTTGGGTGTTGTCGTTCCAAGTCGGTAAGTCATTGAGAATCCGCTTGAGTTTTGATCTGAGCCGTAGTTCCCGCAAGTTACGTTTTATAGTATGTAGCGGTTCGGGATCACACGCTTAGTCGGGGTTGTTGAGGAATCACCAAGTTGTGATTGAAGTCGTAGTGTAATTTCCGTTGATAAGAATGTCAGTGAAGCTCGATTCGATATTCATTGTATGCGTTGACTACGTTTACTCCATGGTTTACTTTTGCTCAGCTCAACTGGCCTGGGGTTGTCTGTTGTCTAAGGGTCTATCTACCAGCCCACTGTCGGTCATTAATCATACAGGTATAAGATTCGTGGTAGGTTCACATCTCGGCGTGCGGGCGGGTCTCGTACGGGTCGCACACCCGTTGCCACGACGTGTAATTTTATCTGGCTTATACACATCTCTTAGTTGTATAGTATACAGATTGGCATATGTATTTGTTAGTTTATATATAGTCAATAAATTGGTAAACAAGTTGGCTTACGTATTTTTTAGTTATATAGTAAATAAACTGGCTTATGTATTTGTTAGTTACGTAGTAGGTAAATTGTTGAACAAATTGGCTTATGTATTTGTTAGTTATGTAGTAAATAAATTGGCTTATGTATTTGTTGATTATGTATCAAATATATTGGCTTATGTATTTGTTGATTATGCAGTAAATAAATTGGCTGGTGTATTGGTGAGTTATGTAGTAAATAAATTGGCTTATGTATTTGTTAGCTATGTAGTAAAGAAATCGGTTTGTGTATTTGTTGGTTAGGTAGTAAATAAATTGACATATATATTTGATAGATATATAGTGAAAAAATAAAGGGTATGTTCAGTTCCAATTGGGGCCCGTCCCTTGCGAAGTGCCAGTGGTACTGTTGTGTGCTAGAGCTGTATTCCCACAGCAAACTAAACGAGTCAAACCAGCGGGAAACCCACCATAGGCATTGCAAGGTATATATTGACAGTGGGCCGAACTGGCAGTGCGATATGTAGGACAGGTGCTGACCTGAATGGTCCACTCCACTTTAGTCCAGGTGCACTGTGTGATGCCATACGTGTGGTAAAAATGAGTGATTAACACGCCGGATAGGTTTAGAATTTACTCTCTCATACATGCAATAGATATATTTTCTCGGCATTGGGATAGCCACTCCTTCTGGAGACTTACCGTGGTATCGCACGAGTACGACTTTAAGTTGTAACGCTTTAAAAAGATATCAGATCAATTACATGTTTACCTTCAGCTTTATACGGCTATTCGTTGTACATGACGACAATCCCAGGGGGGGTATTTACAATTTACTATGAAAGACTTGACCGAATGAGATCCTTCGAATTGTCGTTGAGCACTTAAACAATGTATAGAAATAGCAATGCATAGTAATAGCAATGCATAGTAATAACAATGCATAGTAATAACAATGTATAGTAGTAACAATGCATAGTAATAGCAATGCATAGTAATAGCGATGCATAGTAATAACAATGTATAGTAATAACAATGAATAGTGATAACAAATGTATAGTAATAACAATGCATAGTAATAACAATATATAGTAATAACAATGTATAGTATAAAGCTATCTTTTTAGTTTCTTATACAATACAATTAATACAATGTACATAGATTAATATCCCTTTGAAGTAAAATTCTGAGTCTAGTGAAAACACAAATAAATACTCAGTTTGGTTCTCTCTGACTATGGACTTTTCCTAGCTGAGATAACCGTACTTGCGACGTGGCCTGTTGTATCCTTTGACTCGTACCTTTCAGCTCATCTCCATACTCTACATGTTTTACAATATCCTTATAGATAAGTCAATTAGCTCAGGCCTGTTCTAAGACTAATAGACCTTGCTTAAATAACGTAATAGAGGATTTACTTTATTTTTACTAAGAAACTAAGACAGCTGAGCAGCGCTGAGGTGAAACCTGAGGAACACCGTAAGATCGGGAGCAGACCACACGGACAACCACAGCGTACAAGAACCGAAAGGGAAAAGAAGCACCTTACGGTACAAGAAGAGGAAAAATTATCACCAGGTAAATGTTCCCAGAAGTGGAGTAAGCCACTAAGGGTTGTGTTCCAACAGAGGACCAAATTACAACTCTACATGTCACAGTGATTTGTTTCATTAATGTTGGGAAAGAAAATTGTGAAAAGTGTCAAACAATTACAATAATACATGCCACGTGTATAACCAAAGTAGCATGCATAAGCGAAGACTCGCACGACAATTCTAGGAGTACATTCAATCCGACATAGTGAATGAGAAAGATCGGGTGAGTATAAGAGGTGTTAGACACACTCGTACAAAGATAACAGTATAATCAGATTGATAAGATCACAATAACGAGTTAAAAAGAACACATCGCACAAGACCGCTACCAACTATAGTGATACGCAACAGAATCGTGATGTGGCAAGCATCAACCTACACAATAAGTATACACGATATCTTTAGAAAATAGCGAGGGTCCAATAGCCAAAAACAGATCACCATTTTAAAGATTTAGGAAACTACTAAACAATCCTTAGTATACCAAGCAATCCTTCATGAAGATAATAGCCTAGTAGAGGGTCCATAAGTATATATGAGAAGTATAGACAATGACAACACACAAGGCATATAGAATATAGCAGGGGTTTAAATCAGATCAACATCGGCAAGATTCAAGGAAACGCTAGACAACCCTTAGTGTACTAAGCAATCCTTAATGAAGATAATACCTGAGTAGAACGTCTATAAGTATATGAGAAGTATAGACGAAGACAAGAATGAATAAGTAATACAAGGAACACATCCGTCAGTCAAAGGTGCCCCAAGAAATCAGATCGAGTGCTCAAAGTAATCAAAGAAATCCAGATGGGAAAGCAGCATCTTAAGAAGACACAAACTACTCAATAAAATCATCTTTATTATATAAAGAATAATACAAAAGTAAACACACAAGCATAATCAATCCACAAAGATAACACTACACACGTGACATACACACACAATCACAGTAATAGTAAAGGGTTCCAGTATCTGAGGCAGGAGGTCCAAATAACAAATACACAGTTAGTAAGGCAGCCACACATAATTCACATGACACACATTCGGTTGTGATCGCAAGTATGTAAAATAATACAATGATTAGCGAAGCCATCACTGAAATCACATGGAATCAGGACACCAATGCCAGACTGCCATAAGATCAGAGGTCAATCAAGAGTGTAGTCCAAAGAACAACTATGAAACCACTTACTCCTACAGATAGAGCCCGAGGGCCATCTATAACCGCAACTTCGAAGCTCGCATTTACGAAGCCAAGAAGTGAGACAAGGGATACGTCTCAAGACGCCCAACTCAATTCTTCTGACGCAACTCAGAAAAAGAAGTCCCCAATTATTGGGGACAAAGGCGAATTTCAGAAGGTACCTATACCGGAACCAGAAGAGGAGGCAAGCTCAAGTGGCAAACCCGAATCTACGTCTAAGGCCACTGAGCCAACGCGCATAAGTGAGTTAACTACTGAAAACACTGATCTTAAGAATCAGTTAGCCACCCTTATAAAAAGCATGACTGTTGAACATATAGATCGAATGTATGGAACAGGAAAACACGCATAGCACTTGCGTGAGCATGTTTCTCGGGGCACTACTGAAGCCTTACAGAAGTGGACAGAACGTCGGCTGGTAATTACGACCGAAAAGCGTAAGGACCTGAGCGCCAAACCTGTGGCAGATGACCCAAATGTGGTCAGCGTATCTAAACCTAACGAGGTACTACCACCAGAACTCCAAGTTAATTATTCGCCTGTTCTAACACCCGGACATGAGTCGCCTGTCCTTGAGGGTATTATAGACCCAGAGGCAGGTAGAAACACTCCGCCACCTTTACCCAACTGGGATGACAATCGTCGGAAACCATTTAAGACCGGGTATGTCATCCAGACAAATGAATCACCCAAGATCATAATACCAACGACTATCCAATGAACAGAGCACCGAAAGGCCTCGACCATGGACTTTACACTGGGTAATAAACACTCCCGTAAACGTGTTAACGATGTCGAATTTAATCGGTTCGATCGCACCGCCTTACACCAACTTGCAGAGGATTTTCACTCTGACGAGGTGACCAAACTTAACAAATCGGTCGACGACGATACCATTAAAATGGAAATCGCCCATGATGCGCATCATGCTGATGATGTAGCATACTTTGCGAATATGATTGCGATTAAACAAAAGCGCATTGATCAGTTACTTCAGGCCCAACGTAGACAAGGCCACCGGGATAACCAGAAATACAAGGGACAGATCGGTCGATTTAAGTCGAATTGGGATGCCGACAGTAAGCAGGTCGAGTTTATAAACAACCATGTCCTCGACACGCTAACCCGTACGCTTAATGCGTTTACGGTCATGCAGGAGACGAATGATATCGCTCCCCATCAATGGATCTCTGCTTTAATGCAGACATTTGACCCTACAGGAACAAG